AAAATCCGTTGCTAGCAATTATTTGAACTATGTAAAGCAACTGTCTGATGATGCTACGGGTAAATCCCGCGCGGTGAGCGATGAAGACGTAAATGACGATATTCGCAATCTCTATGCGGCTGTAATGTCACTTATTGTATAAATAGTTAAAAATTGTACAAGTACATTTAGATTACTATAAATTTATCTTTTACAGATACAAAATACAGTTATGGAATTGACATCCTTTATTTTTCTATCGTTGGGAATACATACAGAAATACAAGTTAGTGAAACTGTAATGTGATATGCAGAACATAAAACAAGAAAAATTGTATTTGTCTTTGCATTATAATGATAAATCATTTTACATATACATATATAATTGTATAATATATAGATTAAAATTATTAATTTTATTTTTCACATTTCTTATGAGACACGTTAGTCAACTTTTTAAATGTTACTTCAGATATCCGTTTTATTAATTATGTATTTCATTATTTAGGAAAAGTTGCGAAAAGAAATATTGCTTACATTCGGAAACGACAAGATTGATGCCAAGCGTCTCACGAGCATTCGATATCTTAATATGGTGATTCAAGAAACACTAAGATTGTTTCCTCCAGCACCTATAATTGCGCGACAACTTACGGAAGACATTAAACTGGGTATTGTATAGTGCAATATTTTTTGTAACACAACAGTCACAATGAAGAAAAATAAGTTTGTGAGTTACGAAGACGCGTTGATTTCAGAATCATGCGTCTTGCCGAATGGGTGTTACGTTATAATACCAGTGTTTACTATTCATCGTGATCCTGCATATTGGAATAAACCGGAGGAATTTATTCCTGAACGATTCTCGCCCAAAAACTCGTCAAGTCATCATCGGTACACTTACATTCCATTCGGCACAGGTCTTAGAGCTTGCCCAGGTAAATTTTTAAAAATTTTTTACTTTGAAAATGATGTAAACTAATTTTGAAAAATTCAAAAAATATCAATATTACACCAATAACATATTTAAATATTTACATATTTAACACGGTCCGTACCAAGCCGGTTTTCCGTGACTATTGATGGCCCACGCTGGTGCATTTATTATTTGAGCTCAAAACATATGTATTGTAATAAATTTAATATTGATGTATTATTAAAATAATGTAGAACAAAAGAAATAAGTTGTAAAATGTTTTGTAATAATGTATTTCTTTATACTTAAAATATCAAACAGTCTGAATGAAAAGCAGCGTGGGCCATCGGTGATACACGTGACATATAACGTACACGTTTATTATTTTATTAAAGTTTATAATTTTTTAAATTTAAATTTTCAATGTTTTAAAATTATTAGATTTTGAATATTTTACAATAAATAATAAAAGAGTTTGATTGAATATTTAGTATACTTATACTTACGTATAGATATTGTAGTATGTTGTTTTAACAACTTTTTTATACTTTTTTTTACACTTTGTTTATATTTTTGTTTAAGGTCAACGATATACTTTTCTGTCCGTGGGAGCAGCAATAGTAAATTTATTGCGGCGGTTTCGCTTTGTAGCAACTGGCAGTGTAAAAGATGTCAAATTAACAAATGATATTTTATTACGATCTCGAGACGGTATCAAATTATCTATGTTTCGCTTAGAAGATCATAGATAAACAATATACCTTATGTATATACCACGAATGTACACTGCATATCTTTGGAATATACCTATGTATGTACTATGGACATCCTATGTACATACATGTGGTAATTATTTCACATACATAGAATATGCGATGTACATACTTTTTGCATTCTTTGTATATACAGAGATTATACAATATCGATATATGTATATACATAGGACGTACATAGAATGTCCTAATGTTTATTGGGTATATGCAATATAATTTCTTAGTCTTTTCTATTTAATTATGCAATATTTTCGTGGATTTTAAATAATTAGAAGTAATACCATATGTTACTCCAAAAAGGTAATAAAATAATATAAAATTTGTAATTACTCTTTTACTACGACAATGTCTCATTAAACCACGATGCATAAACGAGCATAAGAAACACTAGAAGCATATAGATATGCAATATAATTTTTACAAATTATTACGTAAAAATTACTTACTTTACTGTATTTTAAAAAATGCATTATTTTGTTTATTATATATTAGGTGTACAAATTAGTTCGATCCGTTTTTTTGTGTTCAAAAATGCATTAATTTCAAAACAAAATGAATGAACAGATTAATTAAAGTATTGTCCATCGCTGGCTACTACTTTTTCCCATCTCTCAACCAATTTTCGAATTCCATCTCGAAAAAATGATTTGTCTTTGGAGGCGATCCAAGTTTGGAGCCAATTTTCGATTTCTGCGAAAGAAGTGAACCGGTGACTTGCCATCGTGCTGCATCTTTCGGAACAGCCAGTAATCAGAAGGAGCAATGTCCAGAGAATACAGCGGCTGCGGTAAAACATCCCATTTGAGCGTTTCTAAATATTTTTTACGACTTTTGTGACATGAGGCCGAGCGTTGTCATGAAGAAGAATAACTTTATCATGTCTTTGCTCGTATTCCGGCCGTTTTTCTCGCAATGCACGGCTCAAACGAACCAATTGAAGCCGATACCGATCGCCCGTAATGGAATCGCCAGGTTTCAGCAGCTCATAGTAAACAACACCCTTTTGGTCCCACCAGATACAGAGCATGATCTTCGAACCATGAATGTCCGGCTTTGGTGTTGATGTTGAGGTCGATGGCAACGATTGACCGGGTTTAGCATAGTATTTTTTCCTCTTGGGGTTGTCGTAGAATATCCACTTTTTATCTCCAGTCACAATCCGATGCAAAAAACCTTTTCTTTGTTGCCTTTGAATCAGCAGCTCGCAAGTGAAAAATCGCCTTTCAACGTCTCTCGGTTTGAGTTCATAAGGCACCCAATTTCCTAGTTTTTGTATCATTCCCATGGCTCTCAATCGTACAGAAACGGCTTGTTGAGTTACTCCCAATGATCCTGCAAGCTCCTCTTGCGTTTGACTCTGATCTTCTTCGAGTAATGCCTCTAATTCTTTGTCTTCGAATTTTTTTGGCTGTCCAAAGCGAGGCTTGTCTTCAACGCTTGAAATCTCCATCTTTGAAACGTCGAAACCATTCTTTACATGATTTATCAGTTGCAGCAGTGTCACCATAAACTTCGACAAGCATTCGATGGGCTTCAGCTGCACTTTTCTTCCAATTAAAGCAGAAAATTAAAACCTCCCGCAAATGCTGCTTGGTTAGCACAAAATTCGACATTTCGAACACAGTAAAAATCAAGGTTTTTGTATGAAACTCAAAACGATATAAACTGAATATTATTAGCAGATGTCTAACCTCTCTGAAACCGCCAAAATCAGCTGTCACTATGAACCATTCACAACAGTTAGAAAAGCATAGGTGTGTAATGCAACTTCCACAAATTATTATGTAAAAATACTTCATTTACCTTATTTTCTGGATCTTTGTACCGCTGTTATTATTTTTCGTTGCCATACGGCACGCTGCTGATCCATGTAGGGCTGCGTTCGGAAACACGTTAGTGGTACTTAATATGCATTCGGGTGAATCGTTCGAAAACGTTGAACGAGTACCACCAGTGTCCCACGAAACCACTCGCCGAAAAAGCAAGGGGAGTCAGTGTGATTCAAGAGTAACGTTTTCGAAAGTAACCTTAGAATGGCAAAGATATTCACTAGGAAAAATAAAACTGCTTAGCTTTGAAAATTATATACAAATCGCGAT